TATTTATTTATTTAATAATGCAATCTCACATGGTGCAAACTAGTTATCTGTCCCATTCATGTTTCAACCGTAAAGCAGTTGTTTGCATGGCTGTATTTTGGTTTGAAGGGTGGGATATGGCGTGAATTTACTGGGTACAGAGGAATAATACCTAAATCCTCAGGAATGGCAACGCATGGGGGGTATTATGGGCGAAACAGTATACTCTGTTATGTCCATGGTACTGCTCATGTCTATAGGCGACGGTTACCACTTTCCATCAGGTGGGCCGTCAGTTTGCTTTCCATTCTAAGTTGTAAAAAAATATATAATATATAAGAACATAAAACACGTGACACCCCGTTGTGGCACCGCAGTACACAAAGAGAGATAACGATCTACTTTTGATGATATAACTGTATAATGTATTGATAAACTACCCCGCCTGCGCTAACGGGATACGCTGGCGGAGCACCAGTGAAGGGTGATAGATGAGAATGAAAACAGGCCAGTTAGCCCATCATGATGAATTCATCAGGAATTAACCATGATAGTTTCCAGGGGGAACCGCGAGGAGATCCACCTGGTTGGGTATATTGATAGCAATGGGATTCTCAGTCTTCATTATTAACAATCCCTTTCCCCCCCTGATAAATCATATATTGTATTTTGCTTTATTTATTTATCTTGCTAATAGATTTTTAATTTTTAAACAACTCCATTTATAATAAAGATATGCAGTTTGATTAAAAAAATCATTAAATATTAAACCGTTATGATTGTTTTACTAACTATATACTGCGGTTTCCTCTACAAGAATCAATATATAAAATATCCTGTGTTTTAAGTTACGTTTAAATTCGGAACGTAATTTTTTTTATATAAAACAAGGGGCAAATGAGCATGCAACTCACCTGATTGCAAGTGACTACCACCTTCTATAATCACTTACAACACTAGAGGCATTGCAAGTGTGCTGCTAGCCTTTTAATGTTATCCCTGTCCCGAATTTCATTCATAACCGTTCTGTAGTTTTTGTGTGAAAGAATAACAAATATCAGTCCATATACATAGTTACTTAGAGATTTTCACATTTATCATAATAATAGTTTAAATATGTATTCTATTACAATTATTTCACTACAATTATTATTAAAAAAAAAGTAAAAGTTAAATTCAATATGGCAACATTGTAGTTTTTTTTTTATTATACGCAACGCATCAGTAGCCGCTACCGAATTCTTGTTATGTCTCATTTATTTACGTTTGCAGGTGAAATCAATATCTCAATACCGTTAAAATTAATATGATCTAACGTAATTACAAATTCAAATCAGTTTTTTATATAATTATTACATAAAACTCCGGATATGTAGAAGCGTACACAAGATCTCATGTATGTCAGTTGTATAAACTAATATCGATTGAGACATAAAAAGTGTATAATTTGTAGCACAATAAATTAATTAATTAATCTAGATTAAAATTAAATTTAATTATGAATTAGTTACGAATATTCTATTACGTAGAATATTTGTATTCGCTTACTTTCCCGTGGGTGAGTAATGGAGGACTAGGGATGGGCAGCAGCATCCCTATTAAAACATCTCTAAAGTCTAACTGCGGTTGCTAATCCGCCTGGCCATGTTCAGCATGGATAGTTAAACTGATATCATTATATGTTGATTCTATTACATTAATAACATTGTATATTATATAATATTCATATAATATCCATATTATATATATATATATATATATATATATATATATATATATATATATATATATATATATATATATATATATATATATATATATAATTTGATTAAACTAAAATAATTAATTTAATTATTTATTTATATATTTTTTATCTACACTTAAACAATGAATTTAGTTCCACCATATCCGTTTGTTTCAAATCTATTATTATTAATTTATTTTACATCAAAAGAAATCAAATCTCTGTGAATCAAATTTGTTAAACAACATGATTAAAATTTCAATTATTATTTGCATTACAATTCATAAATTAACGTTTCCATCTGTCAGTCGTGAACGCTGACGTATTATTAATCACTATTGTCTATGTACAATTATATGCAAATGCATTTAAATCCAACTGCATAATGTTCAAATGTTAATTTCAACACGAATGTGACTTTCTTGGTCATTTACAATCCATCCATACAGATTAGTGCATGACCCTTCATCAGTGCCATACTAATGTTAGCAAGTCACTGCTCTTTATAATATTAAAAAAAAAAAAAATATTTGCCCATTAACTGACCACTGTTGAGTATAGGCCTCCCCTATAAGGGAGGCTATGCCAGTAGTTTTACCAGAGAAGGAGACTTTGTACAAAAGTCGCTTGCTTGGACACCTTTGTCCCATTCGTGTTTTAACGTGAAGCAGTATGTTATTTAAAGCAATGTTGTGATCGCATGAGATTGTGTTTCGGCAAAATTGAAGGGTGGGATATGGTTAATTCCTGACCATCATGATGGGCTAACTGACCTGTTTTCATTCTCATCTATCACCCTTCACTGGTGCTCCGCCAGCATATCCCGTTAGCGCAGGCGGGGTTACCATATCATTTTCAACCATAAAAAAAAAACACCCGAGTCCTCAAGAATGGCAACGCATGAGGTGAGGGGCATCACGGGGAAATAGAGTTATGTTCTTATGGGCGTATAACTAATATATATTATATGTAATATAAATTAAAAGTACATGGTATTACCACAAATTATTTTCTTTATATATATATAGCCACATATATATATATATATATATATATATATATATATATATATATATATAGATATTTATTTTTTGTACGTTATTGTTTGCGTTCAAATGGTTGTCTCGTCTTGTATCTACACGTATTATATATATTATTGTTCTTAAGAATATTATTTTTCACTGTGACCCTCTACACAAATAAGATACAGCATGTATAAGATATGCATACAGGCGTAATTCAAAAATTTTGCTAAACCACAAAACACTTATGGCTTCATTAAACTCCAACATGCCGACTAGAACCTCGGAACCGTGGCTAATTGCTAATCACTGGCATTATCTTACGAAACATAATAATTAGATTTCATATTATATTTTACCACTAGCATTAACCACGTCATTGCCAACCTGATATCTTCGTCAAAATTCATTTCTATGGAATTTCAGTAATTAATTAAATATTTGTTCATAATTTGTTCTGGTTAGTTAAGTCGAGTTGAAGAGATTGTTAATAATGGGTCTAGTTTCCCCATTATTAGCAAAAAACCCTGTCTGGTAGACCTCTTCGCAGTCCCCCTGCAAACCGTCATTTTTAATATAAGATGAACTCATTACAATGGGTTAACTGCCCTGCCTTTTCATCGCCACCTATCATCCCTCACTGATGCTCCGTCAGCGTACATCGTTAGCACAGGCGGGATTAATATTCCATTATCACAAATTAAAGAAAAGTTATCTATTGGTTTCATTAAGAAATTTGATGCCTCCTGATCAAATCTATAAATCCAGTGGAATATATATATTAACCCTTAAATACCAAAAGTTTCAAATTTGATACCGCGGTTATAAATCGTATTGGGCGCCTACAATCTATTTTATTTTAATATTTGGCTGTTTACATGTTACCAAATGTTTTTTTTTTTAAATAAATATATAAAAATATCGTTTTGATTTTTTTTTTACTATTTTTCCCCATTAGTAAACACAGTAAAGGGTACACTTATATATTTTTTAATTTGATTTAAAAAATCAGGCTTTTAAGGGTTAAAGACTAAATAGTTACTACGGCTTCACCTGCATGACACTCATTATCTTCCATCCCTCTATTTTCGTGATATCTGTATCCTAATGCGAATGTCAATCGTTAGGAACTTAATATTAGAAAAAAAAAATAAAGAATTAAGATATTAGTCTAAATAAAATTGACCACTGAGCCTGTATAAAAATATAATTCAAGCGATATAAAATTTAACTAAAACAAATAGGTAATAATAAGAATATTTATTTTTAATCATTTATGTATTTGTATTATATTTATTGTATTAATACAATGAGTGTATTAAAATATATATCTTAAATACACTCATTGTACACATTTTTAAAAATTCAGTACGTATTATTGAATATTTTTTTTTATTTGAAATAAAATCTTATCATTACACTTTCACTTATAATATCATAAAATTTTCTTTTTTAAACTACATGTTTCAAGCTTAATTATCTTATTAAAAAAAAAAACAAATGTTAATGTAAATTCGTAAATTTACTACAAATTTGCGAAAACACCATCACATTAGCTACATTTATAATTGTAAAGGATATTATGGTAATTGTATTAAAATAGAGTAAACAAATGTGGAAATTTAATTAATTAGTAAAATATATTAAAATTATGTATATTTTACTTGAGTAAATAAAACTAATTCACAAGTCGTACAATTTCATAAACATTTAAATCAACAAACAATTTTGCCAAATTATTACTAATTAATTGAATTAATACTCGTAAATAGACAAGTGTAATAATTTTAAATAATAATTTCATGATAATAATAATATTTGTCAAAGAATTAAAAATTAATTACAAAACTGATTAAAATTTAATAACATTTTTATTACTTATTGTAAATTTAATATTATGTTTAAATTGTAAATGATATTATAATATTATAATAAGATATGTATACGTTAAGAATGTTTACATTTTTAAATTAAATAAATGTTTATAATTAATTATTGTATAAATATGTTATATGCTTTACGGAATACAGCGTCCTCGATTCAGAAAGCTTAGAAACACAGATTTTAACGTTGCCGAATCGAAATCCTCTTGAAGGGATATTTTTTTAACATGTATTTATTTGTTTAAATGTATATCATTATTTCAATACTATTGAGACGTTTTTCTATACCTATAATTTTTGGCAATTATTGATATGATTCTTATTATTAAAAAAAAATACAATAAAATAAAATAAAAAAAAAGCTTCACTAACCCTCATTATCCCTCCGCAGGGCTTGAAAGATCGCCGAAACCAGCTACTAAGGCGCAGCAAAGGCACCGCATCGCCTGATGCGACAGAATCGAACACGGAACCCGCGGACACAGATGTCACCACCACAAGCAAGTACCCTCGCAGGACGAAGTCCAAGTTCAAGTACCGAAAAGAGGAAAAACCCGACGTGGATCAAAAAGAAACGGAACGGCAGCCATCTTCGAACGGCGGCGCGCGGCGCAGTGAGGTGCCCAGGCGCAGCTATGTGCGCCGGAGGCCTGGTGGGGCGAACGGTGAGTCCGGTTCTCTATACAATGCGCTGAACACATTTTTTGCGGTTACGGGTTTGTTTACAGGTCATTTACTATGGAAAGCTGTGTAGAAAACGTAGTAAGGGCGGTTTAGCAAGTGTCGACTTGGTAGTGGTGAATGAAAAGAGAATGCACGCTACCGACTGTGTACATTGTAAAGTGCGTTCGTTGGTGCCATGTAGAATGGCAGATTGGTGTGGCACGAAGTCGTGATATTGCTATGTTTACCTCTATTGACTTACGCAAACTATCATACTATTAAGTACTTTATACCACCATCGACTAGTTACTATTTCAATGTCATAATCACGTAGAAAACATAATAATAACCTTGATTCCTTCAAGAGTATTGCGAAAAAGTACTTTTTTTTTTAATTTTTAAATGCTTTAACCTTCTTCAGGTATATCAGCTTTATTGTACCCTAAAACGATTTCTCAGTCTTAGATAAGATTTACTAGTTGAGACGATGTAATGCAGTCGATGGTTAAATAGTAAATTCTCCATATTTAGACAATGCTGTCCCTGATCTAAGACTTTGTAACTATTCCTTATGTCGAGCTATTAAAGTACAAATTAAAAACAATAATCCAATCGTATTGAAAATCGAACTTAGAAATAGCAATCCAAATATTACGATATTACCTCAGAAGTAGACATCGGTAGGACATTTTTTTTTATACAACTTAGAATGGCAAACAAGCTGACGGCCCACCTGATGGAAAGTGGTAACCGTTGCCTATAGACATGAGCAGTACCATGGATATAACAGAGTATACAGTTTCGCCCATAATACCCCCATGCGTTGCCATTCCGCAGGACTCAGGTGTTATTCCTCTGTACCCTGTAAATTCACGCCATATCCCACCCTTCACACTGAAACACAGCCATACAAATACAACTGCTTCACGTTTGAAACACGAATGGGACAGAGGTACCCAAGCAATCGACCTTTGTACAAAGTCTCCCTCTAGTAAAACATGACATATAGAAAGTTAATGATATTTTAGGAGTAATGTGTTTAATATACCATGTTAAAACGACTTAAACAGACAGACAGATAAGGAAGTTAACCTTATTAGTGTCAATATTTTATGATTAAAAAAAATACGAACACCATTATAATAATTCTGTCAAATCAATTTTTTATAACACAGGGGGCAAACGAGAATTATTAAAATTTATCAAAAATTAAAAAAAAAAAGCTATAGCAAAATCGATTTTAAACTGGCGGCATAATCCCATACATAATATTCTTTCTATTTAAGTTGAAGGAATTTGCTTAAAAATATGGTAAAATAAAAGTCTACTTCTTTTTAAAATCTCTTTAAAATTAAATAAAAAAGATACCTAAATTATTGTATATATCGCATACAGCCGTAATTTTACATTTAAATATTATTTATATACTCGTATAAAAATTCCATTCGAAATATAAATGAATGAATGAATGAATGAGTATACTTTATTTGCATTATACAATATAGGAAATAAACAAGACAATTTACAAACACAACGATACAATTGTATAAGTACAGTAAGGCGGTCTTATTGCCGAGAGCAATCTTTTCAAGACAACCTTAAGGTAATGGACTAATTGTTGTACAAGTAGGTATAATAGTGCTTTATAATTAAAAAATCATAAATATTCATAAAAATACATAGAGATCGTACTATGACGTCATATTATAAAATCGGATACTACAATGTTAATCAAGCATCGATTAACACACACACACACACAGAGAAATGAGTCATACACCTGATACATAGCTAAAAGCTTAGAAATAGAAAACCTTGAGAAACACCAAATTCAGTACAATTATGCGAGCACATTCTAAAATGTCAGGTGAATGGTCGATCCCATTTTTTTTTATGAATAACTTAAACTAATTCTCAACTCAAAATTGATTTATTAATGAGTTCGATAGCTTAATTTTTTTATTACTATTTTTCATCGTAAATTTAAAACATTATAACAATTTTTAATAGATTTTAAAATGAATGAGATTCTTATCCCTTCTTTGAATGTTTTTTTTTTTTATTGGTAAATTAAATCAAGGTGATATAATTTACGTTTAAAATTAAGGGAAAAAATGGTTAAAAAATAAATTTGACAGCTATGTTTTTTTTCCGCTATGGACATTAAAAAGGTTTTTTTTATACTACTTAGAATGACTAACAAGCTGACGGCCCATCAGATGAAAAGTGGTAACCGTCACCTATAAACATGAACAGTACCATGGACATAACAGAGTATACTGTTTTGTCCATGATACCAACCATGCGTTACCATTCCTGAGGACTCAGGTGTTATTCCTCTGTACCCTATGTATAAACACAGCCATGCAAACAAAACTGCTTCACGATAGAAACACGAATGGGAAACCCAAGCAATCGACTTTTGTACAAAGTCTCCCTGTGGTAAAGGAACTTAATTGTAAATAGATGGGCAACAGCGTCCCTCTTAAAACATTTCTGAAAGCCTAATTGCGGTTACCAACCTGTTGCCAAGAGTGGCAACTACAGGCACAAGTCCTTTTATGGGAAAGGTTTATGTTTAGCAGTAAACAGTTAGCGGCTGAAATAATGATGACCCACACAAATAAACGACGAGATGTTTCACAAACGCACTATAAGTAAATACTCAGGTGTTTTTTTTTAATGGATGATAATGGAATGGTAACCCCACCCGCGCTATCGGTATACACCGGCGAAGGATGTGTGAAGGACCAGTGAAAGATGATAGGTGAGGATGAAGTAGGTCAGTTAGCCCATCGTGACGAATTCAACAATAATTGTTCACGATGGTTTCCAGGGGGAACCACGTCGAGGTCGACCTAATAAGGCATATTGTTAGCAATGGGGCTGTCAAACTCCATTACTAACAATCCCTTTCCCCCCAATACTCAGGTGTTATTCCTCTGTACCATGTAAATTGTATTGTATTTGAACGGCAATACTCACTTCATAGTACCTCATGAAATAGTTATTTAAATACACTGAATTATAAACTCATTGAATGCACACTTAGTGCTATTATTGCAACACTGAAGCGTTTAGAAAATTGACAATTTTGCAACGAGTCATTGCGACTTGGTAAGTGATGGCACATTGTACTCTTAAGTACTCCATCATCAATCGGAGATTGTCATCGTACGAACTAGATCATGATGTGCTAATTGAACACCAATTAAGTATACCTTGAACTTAATAATGACAGTGATACAGTAAGGGCACTAACTCCTAAAACACAGGTTTTTTCATACCTACCTCGGGAGTTAGGGACTTCAAACTATATTGTAACAAAGAGTGAAATAAAGATTATATATTATTATAGTGATAAATACACCAACGAAATATGGGGAGGGGGAGGGAAGGGATTGTTAATAACGCGAACTATCATCCCCATTGCTAGCAAAATGTCCCATAAGGTCGACCTCCACTTTTTTTTTTATACAACTCAGAATGGCAAACAAGCTGACGGCCCACCTGATGGAAAGTGGTAACTGACGCCTATAGACATGAACAGTAACCATGGACATAACAGAGTATACTGTTTTGCCCATGATACTTCCCATGCGTTAATTCACTTGGAATAGAACACGTTTTCCAGGAAGAACCGCGAGGAGGTCGACCTGAGAGAGTGTATTGCTAGCAATAGGACTACTAATCCCTATTATTAAGAATCTCTTCCCCCCCCCCCCCACATGAACCCTGTTAGGATATTGCAAATTACGTATTGTATAATTTAATTTAACGTTAACTTAAAGCCTCAATAATGTAAACGAGTTACAAAAGAATGTGCTTCATCCCTGGCCTGTCAACTTCATAATTATAAAGAAAATCAATATAATCATAGGCTCGCTATGGTATTTGACCTAGACATTTCTAACAGGTACGTTGTCCTTTGACAAATACCTACCACGGATGTCGACCGGAGGCCAGCCACATCAACTTTTATCAATGAAATGTTAATTAGAGCATTAGGAGATTTAATTGATAACTAACCATCCCCATGGCTTTGTTCGCGTGAAACCTACTTACCTAAAAACTCATTTTTTTTTTAGTACGTTTCTTCCGTTATATATCTCTTTTGTGTTAAATTTATGTCTCTTTTGTGTTAAATTCCTAATTTGAATGAAAGTGACAATAGATAATATAGGTTTGTAAAATGTTTTAATTTTTATAAATAAGGTTTTAATGAATATGAAATGACATTCGCGCATCGTTATAAACGAATATAGCCTCGCCCATCAACATTGGTTCATGAATGTATCCAAATTTATGAATGTATTCTATGCAACCAAATGAATAATTAACAGTTAATATAGGTATCTAGTCCACTGCGATATGCGTGCGAAATGTTACTAAGTACAACAAGTCCAAGTGCACGCTGTGTTGTTACCTACAAAAGTATTAAAATCATGAAAACGTGCTTTACTTAGTCAGGAAGTTATTGTGAAGCGAATTTTATAAATAAGTAACTGGCGACAGCGTCGTGGTCTAATTTAATTTTAAAAGCTGTTCAATCGACTTTAGGAAAAGACAAGATTCTCAATTCGGTTGTATTTTATTTTGTTTGTTAGAACTCCGTCATTTAAAACTGATATGGAAAATGCTTTTTTTTTTATTTGAAAAGATATACGTTCATATCGTTCGTATTGAAATTTTATCGATGTCGGTACAGTAGTTTAGTTTTCAAATTAAAATAGCTAGTTTCACCACGATTAAAGTCAGTGACTTTTTGTTGAACGAAATCCTTAAGGATCCTTAATTAACTAAACCTTTTTTTTTTTAATGAATGGAAATGGGATTAAAAGGATAAAGTGTAGAATAAAGTATTAGGTTTTGTGCGCGACTCCGTATACAGAAACACAGCCATGCAAACACAACTGCTTCACGGTTAAAACACGAATGGGACAGAGGTACCCAAGCAAACGATTATTGTACAAAGTCTCCCTCTGGTGATTGATGACATTAT